AAACCAACCTTGCAGTCCAGTGTTTATCCTACAGCACCATACTAGAACTCCATTTATTACAATATTAGGAACTAGTTCCTTGTGTACAATTGGTTACAGCACTGTTGTGATATCAAGTAAGCATATACACATTTTGGAGGAAACATCCCTTTGGTGTTTCATTGCTGTACACTGACTGGGATAAACACTCTGGCTTTCAGCTCTACCAGAGTGACCTGAGTGGGAATTAAAAGGACTTGAAGGCCACATGCATTGGAAATAACAGTACTGCAGCTGTGTCAATGTTAAAGCAAGACTATGAAGAAGGAGAAATGACTTTGAAGTCAGCACTTGCTTTAGCTATCACGGTGGTAAATAAGACCATGGATGTTAGTAACCTTCCTGCTGAAAAACGGAAATTGCCACCCTAACAAGAGAATGGAAAGACAGGCATCAGAGTTCTAGAACAAAAGGAAGTGGAACAGTTCATCAAAAACCATGAGGAAGAAGAAGGTAAAGGCGAGCATGACAAGAAAAGGATAAATAAAAGACAAAATCAGGGATTTTCTAACATTGCAGGCACCATTTCAGTGTAAAACCTGTCAAAACGTTTCCCACTGAGAAACTTTTTTTTTTAACCTGTGTAGTAAGGAAATGTTAAGTGCAGTCGAGTCGGTTCCAACCCATAGCAACCCTGTATAGGATTTCCAAGGAGTGAGCTTGAACCACCAACCTTGTGGTTCAAACCGACTTTGCAGTCCATTGCATTAACCCACACTGCCACACCAGTAAGGAAATAGAACACTACACGTTGAATTGTGTTTGTGTCATTTTTGTTTGGTTGAATATTGTAATGATAATTGTTCTTCATGGACATCTTAAAAGATTTTTGTTTGGAATAAAATGTGGAAGATTGTGGGGTGGGGGTGGGGAACAACAGCTTCAAGAACTACTGGATTGAGTGCCTTCAACATAGGTAACACAAGGCCTGTCCTCAGATAGTGTTCTAGGCCTTGGAGAGTGCTTCTGGGACATTGTGGTGGTTTCATATTTGGATATAATTGATTGTATGTGGATGCGTTCTTACAAGCTGTTTCCTGTGGGTATAGTTAAGAGAAAGGAAGCAAGCATGTGCACCCATCTCCACTCATGCAGCTCAGGTTAGAATGGATGTGACTGGCGTTGGCTGCTAGTTCCTGGGTGGAACTGCAGAGGGTTGACTTGTGGCTGGACTGTGGCACAGTTGCTGTTTCCTGTTGGGTGAGGAAAAGGAGACACACACCTGGAAGCAAAACAGAATAACCAACCAACTAAACAATAATGAATAAATAAGCAAAAAGTTTAAAACAGGTAGTGACCATAAGAATATAATAACTATAAAGAGAAAAGCGGAACAGGAAAATGGAGTTAAATAAGAGAAAAATGAAAGGAAGAAATTTTTTTTAATGACAGTAAAGAAGGATCAAAAAAGTTTTAAAAAGGGGTGCAATGAGAAAGGGAAAAAAAATGGAGATAAGGATAAAATTCAAAGGAATGGAAAGAAAACTAAGTTTACAAGAGATACATCTTAGGAAAAGACAAGTAGACTAAAAGGATGGGAAAAATAATAATGATTTGTCAATTTTATTAATCCTTTCAAAGAACCAACTTCTTGTTGATCTTAATTGTTTTTCTATTTCAAAATGAGAAGTGGCAATTGTAAACTGATAAAATAGGCTTTCAGGCAAAAACCAGCAAAAGAGACAGAAAAGGGGTATTATAGCATGATTCAGGGGTCAATTGAACAAGAAGACATAACCATAATAAATATGCCTCCAATGAAAGAGCCTCAATGCATAAATCAAACCCTTACTAGAACTGAAGAAAGAAATAGACAACAATAATAGTAGGTTTTAATATGCCACTTTTGATGGACAGAGACACTAGAAAGACTGAACAGTGACACAGAAGAATTTAACAGCACAATCAGCCAACTTCACCTCCTAGATTTATACAGAGCACTCAACCCAACAACCGCATAATACACATTCTTTTCCAGTACACATTGAACATTCTCCAGAATACACCATAAATTATAGAAAGCAAGCCTCAGTAAATTTTAAAACATCAAAAGCATCTTTTCAGATCACAATGCTATAAAATCAGAAAACAATAGGAAGATCAAGGGAGGAAATATACATGGAAACTGAACACACCCTGCTTAAAAGCTACTGTAATAAAATAAAAAATGATTAATATTAGAGTTCAACAAGAATGAAGATGCAACTTACCAAAACTTTTGGGACATAGTAAAAGCAGTGCTCAGAGTGCAATTTCTAGCATTAAGTGCACACATCCAAAATGAAGAAAGATCCATAATGAACTTCTTAACCCAGGATCTCCAACAATTAGAAAAAGAGCAGCAAAGTAAGCATACTGCCACCAAAAGAAAAGAAATAAAAATTAGAGTAGAAATCAATGAAATAGAAAAATCAACAAGACAAAAAGTTGGTTCTTTGAAAGGATTAATAAAATTGTTAAACCATTGGCAAACCTAACAAGAATAAGGAGAAGATACATATAACGCCAATAAGAAATGAATACATGTGATGTCACTATCAAACCAACTGAAATAAAAAGAATAATAATACTATGAACTGTACTCCAACAAATTTGAAAACCTAGTAGAAATGAACAAATTTCTAGAAACATGACATACCCAAATTAGCATGTTGAAGTAGAAAACTTGAACAGTCTTATATCAAGAAGAAATTGATCAAGTCATTTAAAAACATCAATGCTGGTCAGTGGAAGAGGGGAAAGGCAGCAATGAAGATATGGGCTGAGTTAGACCACCATAGACTCCCAGGGTACCTGGAAATGAGAGAGAGAAGAGGAAGGGCTGGTTGGTAGGAAGTGTGGTGAGAACTGGACACTCCTGAGCACATGGACAAGGACATAGGCATAGAGGGCTAGAACTGAGAGTGAAGCATCCAGCTTATACGAAGTGAGAGGAGACGGACAAGAACATCCAAACTTGTAGATAGCACTTAGCCTCGATGGCTTGATGATTAGAAGATAAAAAATTTTTTTTTGATAAAGAAAACAAGTGTAAATTGTTACAATTTGATAAACTTGACATATTTATGCATGTAGTAACTGAAAATATGAACTGAGAAGGAAGGAATCTTCACATCAAGTATCAATTCTATCCCTTCTGTACACAGGGTTGATAGAGATGGGCAACTTAGACATTGGCTACTAAAATGAGGGGCTATAAAGGCACAAAGTGACTGGCTTACAAGTTTTCAAGAGGGAGTTTAGTTTCAGAGTGTGGGGAAAGATAGAATCCCCACTGAATAATTTTCATCTTGTCTAGACGGGTCTTGTGAAAAGAGATGGGGATAAGATTCTTATGATTCAATAATGAATAATTGTTATCATGACTAATTGTGACTGTCACAACTGTAAAAGTAGAAGTTTTGTAGCAAAAGGGTGGGGGAGGTAAGCTTACAGTCCAGGAACTGAGGATCCTATGACCATCAAGGGAGAAGAACATGAGTGGAATGTGGGTCTCTATCCAGAGAAGCAGCAACACCAGAGATGGAGGCAGAGATGAGGACTTGGAGAGAGAGCAGCTAAGGACTCTAGACTCATGGAAAGAGAAAGGCTGTGTGCTGGCAGCCTGGAGGCAGGCTTGCAGAATGTGACCTTGGTTGTTTAAATGATTATATATTCCTGAGTGTTCTTATGTCCATCCAAAAAAACCCAGAGAGAATAGAAGCAAATAGTTGAATGATGATGCATGGAGGAAATTGTAACCATTGCAATGAAACTATGAGTGTAAAACTGATGTTCTTCTATGTAAACTATCACTAAATTGAAAATAAAACCTTTTAAAAAACCTTAAATGTGCTGGACTGTAAAGTCTGTTTGAACTGCAAGGTTAATGGTTCAAGCTCACCAGTCTCTCCTCAGAAACCCTATACAGGGTCGCTAAGGGTCAGAACTGACTCGGTGGCAGTAAATAACAACAACAAATTTTTCAAAGTCCAGGCCCAGATGATTACCAGTGAATTCCACCAAACATTCAGAGAAGCACTGACACCAATTCTTCTCAAACTATTCCATAATATAAAAAAGGATTTTAAAAACCCTCCCAAATTCATTTCATGAAGCAAACATAACTCTGATAATCAAAACAGGCAAAAGCATCCCTAAGAAAGAAAATTATAGACCAATATCCCTCATGAACACAGATGCAAAAATTCTCCACAAAATCTTAGGCAATGGATTCCAGCAATATTTCAAAGAAATAATACACCATGATCGATTGGTATTCCTATCTGATATGCAGGGATGGTTCAATATTAGCAAAAAAATCAACTTAATCCACCACATAAATAAAGGAAATCATATGATCATATCAATGGTTGCAGAAAAAGCATTTGACAAAATCCAACAATTGTTTCTGATAAAATAACAAAATAGAAATGGAAGTGAAATTCCTCAACATAATTAAAGGCAAAATACAACACCTGGTGTGGCACTGTGGGTTAATATGCTGGACTGCAAAGTAGGTTTGAACTGCAAGGTCAGTGGTTCAAGCTCACCAGCTGCTCCTCGGAAACCCTATACAGGGTCACTATGGTTTGAAACCAACTTTAGAACATGTAAAACAACATGCAAAACCAACAGCCAACAATTCTTTCAACAGTAAGAATCTGAAGTCAGTCCCCTTGCAAACAGGAACCAGACAAGGATACCCTTTATCACCACTCATATTCGATATTGTGCTGGAAATCTTAGCCAAAGATATAAGACAAGAAAGGGAAAGTAGAGGAATGCAAATTGACAAAGAAGTAAAACTCTGTCTGCAGATGATATAATCCTATACTTAGAAAATCACAAAGACTCCACAAGAAAATTATGCAAAATGGCAGGGTTGTTGTTGTTGCCAAGTGCCGTCAAGTTGATTCTGACCCATAGCGACCCTGTATGGGGTTTCCAAGGAGCAGCTGGTGAGCTTGAACCACTGACCTTGCAGTTCAAATGACTTTGCATTCTGATGCATTAACTCACAGCACCACACCAGGACAACACACATAATTCAGTCAGATTCCTCTATACTAATAAAGACAACACTGAAAAAGAAATTAGGGAAACAATCCCATGTACATTAGCCACTTGGCAATAAATCTAACCAAAGAAACAAAAATACTAAACAAAGAAAACTACAAAACATGACCACAAGAAAAGATCTGCAGAAATAGAGGAATGTTCCCTGCTCATGGGTAGGAAGACTTAACATTGTGAAAATGTCAACACTATCCAAAACAGTCCACACACATAATGCAATCCTAGTCCAGATTCCAACATCATTCTTGAAAGATACGAAAAAATTAACCACTAGCTTTATATGGAAAGGAAAGAGACCCTGGATAAGTAAAACATTATTTTAAAAGGAATAAAGTAGGAGGCCTCTCATTTCCCATTCCCAAAGCCTACTACATAGTAACAGTAGTCAAAACAGCCAGGTATTCTTAGAATGAAAGGCACATATATCAAGGGAACAGAATTGAGAACCTAGAAGTAAATCCACTCAGTTGATCTTCAA